CTGGACTATACACCTCTGCTCTGGTCTCTCTGGTTCTGATCCACTGCAGTTCTGACTCCTGAACATTTTTACAGATTCCAGATCTCACAGCCGGATCCTTCCTGGATTCTGGATTCTGGATCTTTGCTTCATGCGTCACCATTCTTGAGCAATCTGCCGTTCAGAATCTGGAAGAAGATGCAGGACATCATCCAATACAGTGAGTCTGGAGAAGATCTATAGTAGTTAATGAGATAATTAGGTGATTAATTGATGATTGAGCATTATTGAAGATACGCGATCAAGAACTACTGAAATAGTCATCCAAAACAAGAACTACTGACTTTGATTGCATGTACTATTAACAGTTTGACTTTATTTCTGTCATATATCTACTCACAGTCTTATTTAGATGTAGTAGAAGTTTAGATGGTGATGTTTTATGGAATGTTTCATTTTCACTTTTTTCACACAAGTCACCATTATAGTGATCATTGTTTGCTTTAGTTGGGCTCTTGACTCATTACTTTTTCAGAGGTGGAAAGTCCAGGGGTCAGAGAGTAAAAGTCCTGCCATATTTTTATTCAACCAACAGCTAAAACTCAGTATTAAATGAACTTTTCTGGGAGTTTATTTGGATCCAGACTTAAGAGTGTTAAAGTTAATGAGATAATTAAGTGAATAATTGAGTGATGATTGATACACCAAGGATCAATCATCAAACATCAAACAACAAGGAATGCTGATGAGGTGATGTTTGTTATGTTTTGACATAATCATCATTTGTCAAAAAATTCATTTGTAGAGTTTAACCTTTTCATTACACAACATAATATTTTCAGTAATTTAAAATACTATCCAAAAGATTTCTTAAAAGTTCTATTAAAAAAAAAATATTTTATTTGGACACACAGATATCAAGAACCAGCCTGTGATTCTCAACAATGATGACAACTATATAGCATGTTGCATTGCATTTTGGGTGCCACCAATCAAAACCCGTTCATGGCTCCCATCATGCATGCATTATCTGAATAATTATTAATTGAATATTCTGTTTGTCACCATTGTTGAGATTCATACACTGAATCTTGATGTATAATTATAAATTGAATATTCTGTTTGTCACCATTGTTGAGATTCATACACTGAATCTTGATGTGATTTAATTATCTACATCAAGAAATGATGGCGTAGTTTAAAGCTGTTTAGTGAATGATGAGTTTAAAAATCCTTCATGACTTATTGTGCACTGCTTGTCATAATTCATAACAATCTGTGTGCATTATATGAACAACAGAACAAAAGTACCTGTTGATTGTGTCTCATCAGCGCCGGTGATTCTGGATCCAAACTCGGCTCATCCACGTCTTGTCCTGTCTGATGATCTGACCAGTGTGGCATACAGCTGGAACGAACAACCTCTTCCTGATAATCCAGAGAGGTTTGATGAGTATTACTGTGTTCTGGGTTCAGAGGGTTTTAGCTCAGGAACACACTGCTGGGATGTGGAGGTTAAAGAGAGTGAATGCTGGAGTCTTGGAGTAACTACAGCATCAAACCAGAGGAAAGGATGTGATTTCTTGAACACTGATGTCTGGTGTGTGGAGTATGATCCGTACAGACTGTATGTGTCTGGGTTTGGTTTTCGTGTTGAACAGGATCTTGAGCGTGTGAGAGTTTATCTAGACTATGACAGTGGAACGGTGTCATTCTGTGATCCTGTAACTAACACACATCTACACACATTCACAACCACCTTCACTGACACACTCTTTCCATTCTTTTGCAATCTTGATGAAATTAAATGTCTAAGTATCTTACCAGTTAAACTGTAACAACAGAAAATCACTGAAACATAATCTGATCCTGCCAATTAATGACTTGTGCCATCTTTAGCATGTGAAAGTCTGAATTTCACGTCTTCAGAAACAGACAGTAAAAGCAGCAACGGAAACATTTACATTAAAGAGTTAAGGGTCAAGAGTGCATTTTATTTAAATTAGGATATTTACTTTAATTTTACTGGGTTTTATTTTATATTTTTGCAGTCACTGCTTAGTGCTTACAGTAATGAACTAATAGAAATGAATAGAAATATTGTAGGATGAGGTATCATGTTGCCATTTTCAAATAAATAGTTTAAATTAAAATGTTGCCATGTTTGAATAAAGATTTTAAAATGTAGGCTAAGTGTCACTATTATGGTTAGGTTTAGGAGTAGGTTTAGGGTTAGTACCTAGTTATAACACAGTTATTGTAATTGTCATAATAAGCACATGCGGAACAGGACTGTAAAATAAAGTGCTACCTAAATTTCATTGGCCAGTGAACCTGTGTAGTTTCTACATATTTGTTGTGCAAAATGACAAACTGCATGTCTCTCATGTGTAACTGCATCCAGCTTCCACCAGAGGGCAGCAGAAGCAGCAAACTGAAGGCTGAAAGACATACATGAACAATTTACATTTACAGGCCGAGGCATTGAATCCACTCAAACATAGCTGTAAGCGGACCTCAT